CCTACTCTTCTATGTAGAGACTGTTCAATTACTGTATCAGTAGCATGTTTAGGACACTAAAGGAAGGACCAGAGGTCAATCCTAGTCTGGACCTACAAACCTCAACTGTCACTCTGTGATGCTCACAGCTACTAAATTTCTCTGGGCTCTAGCAATTAGTGAAGTGGAGGGAAAGATCTTACAAGTGTGAGAGACAGGAACAGACATCATTTTAACCTGAAAAGGTATGATTACTCGGATCTAGATGTAGAACAGAAATGGCCTCAAAATTAACACTGTGAAGACTGGCAAGAGGACTTAGCAGGTAAAGGGGTTTGCTGACAGACCTGATGACATGAATTCTATTCCTGACACACTTGGAAGGAGGGAACCCACTCCCAAAAGCTGTTTTCTGACCTTTACACCAAGGATGCCCTGGGGTATGCACAAGCACAAAAAAATGTAATTTTAAAAATTAAAAATTTAACAAAGTGAACCCATCATTCAAGGCAAAAAGCTGACAGTATGTTACAGTAATAAAGTCTGGGCTCCTCCATCATGGGAAGGAGAGACTGCCTGCTATATTAGAGAATACAACTTGTTGACACTGTGTAACTTCAAAGTGTCAAAATGTAACTGACTATAGCAGCAAAGGCCTGTAACACAGCACTGAGGCAGGAGGATAGAAGGTTCCAGCCAAAAGGGCTACATAAATAGACTCTGCCTCACAACAACAATCAGAAAAAGCAAAAACAGAAAGTACTGAAATGTCATGGTTTTGGATTCTACACCCCAGCTGAGTTTTAAGAGACTATCACTAGACCGCTCAGCGGGTAAAGGTATTTGCTGCCAGTCCTGGCCACTTGAATTTAATCTGTAGCATCGTATGGTAAAAGGGAACAACTGACAGAAGCTGTGGCTCACACACACAAACTCACAAGGAAGTTTTAAAAAGTAGTATGTTTTATGTGTATGGATGTTTTGTCTCTGTATTTGTCTGTGCCCCATATGCAAGCCTGGTGCTGGAGGAGATCAGAAGAGGTCTGTGGATCCCCGGAGACTGGAGTTCAACACAGTTGTGAGCTGCCCTGTAGGTCTTCTGGAAGAACAGCCATTGAGTATTCTTAACCACTGAACCATCTCTCCAATCTAGTAAGTTTTTTAAAAAGTAAACTACCACTTGTCAAATGCTGATATGCTCAAAGAATATCCACAACCATCTAAAAAAGCTATTTATATAAACTTTGTGAGGTTATTTTCTTCATTTGTATCAGATAAGCTGGACAGTGGTGGCGCACACCTTTGATCTCCGCACTGGGGAGACAGAGGCAGGCGGATCTCTGTGAGCTCTAGGCCAGCCTGGTCTACAGAGAGAGTCCCAGAACAGCAAGAGCTATTATATAAAGAAACCCTGTTTCAAAAAAAAAAAAAAAAAGTATCAGCTAATCAAATCCAAGGGAGAAAGTTAAGTTTTACAATAAAGAAAATAAGAATACATTTCATTCTATACCTAACTTTTCTATTTTGCAAAATAGTTTTTGGTTAAAAAAAAAAAAAGTAATACAAAATGGATTGTGGTTATTTTATAAATTAATAAGGGCTTTCTTTCTTTCTTTTCCTTTCATCTCATCATGTATCCCAAGCTGGCCTAGAATTTGCTATGTAGCCTTGAATTTCTGATGTACCTATTCCTATAACATTGTGCCCAGTTTTAGGCAGTGTTGGCTACTGAACCCAGGCCTTCATGCATGTTAGGGAGCACTCTACCTATTCAGCTCCATCCCCAGTCTTGTGTTGATACTATAATAAAAAAAAATTTAAGATTTATGTATGAATGACTTGGCTCATTTCAAAGAGGATCTGCACAGCTAGCTTACACGTCTGGCTACAGAACACATACCTGCAAAATGAGGACCAGATCCCTCCCCCAGAAAAAGAGAAGCAAAGGGAATATCAGAAATTTGCCTTACTATGTCCCCAATAACATCGGCCTACATTATTTAATGAAACACATATAAGGCCATAGAGATGAAGAAAACCAATTCTTTAATTCTTTCAAGTTACTATCCTCAAAAGTTGTAGAAACAATCCCCTAAAAAAGGTTTTAAGAATAAAGTTGCAGCCAGGCATGGTGACACATGCCTTTCGTCCCAGAGGCAGGCAGATCTCTTTGAATTCGAGGCCAGCCTGGTCTACAGAATGAGTTCCAGGACTGGCTCCAAAGCTACACAGACAAACCTTGTCTCAAAAAAAAAAAAAAAAAAAAAAAACCCAAAGCAACAACAAAACCATAAAAGAAAAAAAAAAAAAAATAGTAAAGAATAATACTGCTGTATTTGGAAGGCGGAGGGGAGCATGAACTACACTGTTGAGCTCCAAGACAGCCTGAAAAAGTCTTTAAAAGGTCGAAAGGGCAGAAGATATAGCTCAATTGTTCATGCTTACCTAGTTACTATGCACAAAGACCTGAGTTCAAGTCCAACACCAAACAGACCAGGAGGTGGTTCATGCCTATAATCCAAGCACTCTGAAAGTGGAGGCAGGAGGATTAGAAGTTCAAAATCATCCTCAGCTACTGAGTTCAAGGCCAGCCTGGGCTAAACGAGAACCTTTCTCAAAATGAATGAATGAATGAATGAATGAATGAATGAATGGGGAGGAGAAACAAAAATTTTTAATACTTTGCCTAAACTGGCTATGGTGACTTATTCCTATAATCCCAGCACTCAGGAATCTATTCAAGGCAAACCTAGACTACATAGTGAGTGCCAAAGACCTTAGCGAGTAAACTCAAGGCCTTTGGTTTAATTCCCAGAGCCATGAAGCTAGAGACAGAATAAATTTTATTTTAAGACATCCACAAATACAGTTTGAAGAAAAATGGCAATGCTTACTTTTAAAAAAAATCTGCATATGTGTGCCTTCAACATGTATGTGATAAAAAAAACAACTTACAGAAGTCAGTTTTCTCCTTCTATCATGTGTGTTCTAGGGCTAGAACACATGTCCACAAGCTTGGTGGCAAATGCCTTTACCTGCTGAGCCATCTCTGCAGCCCACCAAACCAAATTTTTATCAAGCTTTTTCCCAATACATTCACATATATATATATATATATATATATATATATATATATGAATATATACATATATATGTAATTTTTTTTTTTTTTGAGACAGGGTTTCCCTGAGTAGCTTTGGAGCCTGTCCTGATCTTGCCTCAGCCTCCCAAGTACTGAAATTACAGATGTGAGTCACCACCTCAGGCTTAGTTCTTGAGCTTAGTAGGTGAGAACAAACAATAAAAAGATAAGGCTTGCTTCCTATCAGATTCCTAGGCTGAGCACAGGCTGCTCTGAGACTCAGGGTAAATGGGAATAGAGACAGCAAATGGAGGGAGGAAGACCTATAGAAGACTAATGTGCCCCTAAGACTTTCTCCTTGTCAGCTCAATTTCACAATGTGTTTCTTATACTTAACAATTTTAAATCAAGGGTCTTGAATGCACAAGAGTCCAACTCCTCTTTGTTTCTCAAAACTCAGTTCAATATGAAATAAACAAGCCCCCTCAAAAACTAACATTCACTTTCAGAGCCATTGGAAATGTTAGATTAAATGACAGCCAAAAACACTGAAGGGAAAGGGTTTTCCCAAGCGTAGTGTCATTAATGAGAACTTCATGAACAAGGTCAAGGGAAGGGTATCACTAAGAATTGATTTTTCCTTTTGAGACATAGCCCTAAACACAAGTGAACCAGCTCAGAATCTCCAAAAACCAAAAACAGTTCACAGGAACCCCTAGAAAAAAGTCAAGCTCTGGAAACGGCTAATAAGCAAGCTTTTTCAGCAGCCGCGTCTGACTTCAGTACTCTCTGGGTGATCCCCCGACTCTCAGTAGCTCAATTTCCTCAACAACCAAGACAGTTGTTCTAGAAAACAATCCACCTCGTCTAAAGCCCTCAAGTTACACAACGGGGGAGAAAGGAGACGCCAAGTTTACGGAGCCGAGCAGAGACCAAAGCAGGGTTAGACACAAGTGACTTAATTCTCACTTTAGCAGGGTTTCTTTCCACCACTCCTTGCCACCGGCCAAGAAACCTCCCTCCCCACTGTCCTGAGAGCTCTGTGTGGGGCAGAGCCAAGCCACAATGCTTCAGGGATGAGCCTGGACTTCTCCAGACCAGTTGTGACCCGGGTCATTTGTCATGGGGCATTAATGCCCCTGTCCTCCTCCCCTGGGCGGCAGGGAAGCCAGGAGAGCTACTGGGAGCCTGCACCGCGCTTCACGCACCAGGCAGTTAGCTGCAAACAGAACGCTACACTTGATTCACGTCAGTCTCAAAGACCACTCCGCTTTTCGCCTCATTGGCTAACCCACCCCTACACAAGGCAGAGTCCAGTCCCAAAACAAAGGGCTGCCGAGCCACGAAGAAGTCTTCAACTCTCGGGATAAGGGGCAGACGGACTTGGCTCCTATCGGTTTCCACCTCTCCCAATTACACAAAATGGAACAGCTGCTGGTGCGGACAGCAGTGACTAAAGCATTGTTTGTGGCACAACCTGGACGCTGCCGGACCGAGGGGAGTCACTGCGCGGATGCAGAGCGAGTCAAGGGCCCAGCCTCACTCTCACGCAATCCGGAGACTAAACAGCAGGCCGATGCGCTCGCCAGCCCTCGGGGCTACTTCCACTCACAATATAACTTATTCTGAAGATGTCTAGTGGCTGAGCTGCTAAGGCCACCCTAACAGACGCGGTAGGAAAGGCTGCACCGTCTTCCCCCTGCAATCGGCGCCTTTCGTACAGCCCACGGCAGCTGAAAAGACTCGTAAATCACTGGGAAGGCAAGCCCCTTTCCCCTCTCACCCGGTCTCAACAGCTAGAGTGGCTTCCCCGGGCCGGAGCGCCGGCGCCCTCCTCCAGCCGTCCCCACCGGGCTCCGCGGCCACCGAGCCACGCGGCAGGACCCCGGCCCCGGCCCCGCCGGGGGAGGGGGAAGGGAGGCAGCCGCGCGCCCCTTACCTCATGCTGTAGGCGCCGGCGCCCAGCTCCTGCCCGATGCCCGACAGGCTGGAGTCGAAGTCGTGCACCAGCCCGGACTCGATCACCTCGTCCATCTTGAGCACCCAGGCCATCTTCCGGCCTCGCCGCCGCCCCGCGCAGCGCGGCCTCCGGGTCCGGGGCGAAGGCGCCCGAGCTCCGCGGGCGCGTCCTGAGGGAGGGCGCGGGTGAAGCCTCCGGCGGCGCGGCGAGTGGTCACCAGAGGCAGCCCGGGACGCGGCCGAGACGAGAGCGGCCGAGGCCCGGCTGTCAGGGCACAGCGCGCCGGCCAGCAGCTGCAGCGGGAGCGACCGGGCCGCGGGCCGCGCCGCCCTCCCGCGGCCGCCGGCCCCGCGCCTCCCGCGGCCGCCCGCCCGCCCCGCCCCGCCCCGCAGCCCCGGCTCGCATGCCCCCGGCGCGCCCGGCACCCACACCCGAGCCGCGCCCCCCAGGCCCTCTGCCCGCCCGCCCAGGCTCCAGCGCCCCTTCGCCCCGGCCAACCCCGCCGCCGCCGCTCCGCCGGCCCGGACGCAGCTTCCCGGCGACTCCGGCTCCAGCTCGCTCGCCGCTTCCGCCTCCTCCTCCGGCCCCGCCCCGGCCCCGCCCCCGCCCCCGCGGCCGCTCCCCTCCCAGGCCCGCCCCGCGCGGCCCCGCGCCTCTCCGCAGCGCGAGCGCCTGGGCCGAGCCGAGCTGCCCGGCCTCCGCGGCGTCGCTGGCTGGCGGCGGAAGAGGCGGGAGCAGAGGGGGCGGCTCGGATGACGGACAGCTGTGCTGGGCAGTCACGGCGAAGCGGCGGGGCTGGACTCCCGTGAGCCTCTGCGTGCTCGCCTGAGCCTCCAATCAAGATGTTCTTCCGCTCGGGGCGACAGTGGTTGCCGTAAGGGAGAGCTCATTGGCCCGCACTGGAGGAAGTGGTTCCGGGTCCTACTTCCGCCGGCGCTGGGGGAGACCTCTTCGCCGGCTTTCCTCCCGATTCGGGGAAAAGTGGCGCCAGTTCGCCTCAAGAGTTAAATTAGAACTGTTTTGCAGAAAGTCTTGATTGGCAGGAGGAGGAGCCAGACAGCCCGCCCCAAAAGGCTGCTCGAAGCCTCCCCACCCCCGGCCTCAATCTAGAAGGGTGGGGAGTCCGCACTCGGGAGGCAGGAGCAGGTTATCCAAGACCGAGGACGGCTTGGTCACCTTAGCGAGCTCCAGCCAGGCCACGTTTACGTAGCGAGGTCTGGTCTCAAAATTAAAAACTTTGAAATTTACAGAATACCTGGTGACTTTGGTATAGCCTAAGAACGTGTGACACCCTCCTTATTTTAGTCACGTGCGCTAACACAAAACATGTAAATTGCTGTGAGGGTTAACTTGAAGAAAACGAAGGTGTTTCTAAAGAAAAGAGGAGGCCGGGGCTGGAGAGATGCCTCAGCGGTTAAGGCCACTGGCTGCTCTTCCAGAGGACCCTGGTTCAATCCCCAGCATCCACAAGACGCTCACAATTGTAACTCCAGTTCCAGGGGATAAGACACCCTCACAACGATGCACATTGAAATAAAATTAAGTAATGAAAAGAAAACAGAAGATCATTGTTCAGGTGGCATGCAGACAAAGGAAGAAACAGATAATAATAGCAAAAAGAAACATAAAAACGACTACACTCAGTATGGAGAGGCTTCCTGCCCATTGCCAGGTGCCTCCTTTTACTTCCCACTGAAGGCCTTCTGTGTCTGGTTATCCCTAAACACGAAGCTTTGAGGAAAACTGCCACCTCACATTTATCAGGGCTGACCTTTGCTGAGTATTTCTTTTCCACAAAATACGGTCACAAAAGTACTGGATTTGAGTAATGAGCAGATGGATGTGGGTCCAGAACCATGGATTAGCGAGGTCTATTATTAACTTGCAAAATAAGGGGAGGGGTAATCTCTGATTATTGGGATGAGTAACAATGTGCAAACTGTTATCCCATCTCTTTAACCAATCGGATCATCCGTACCCTAAAGAAGTACTCAAATGTGTAGAAACAGAGTGTCTGAAATTCATAGAAACAGTTGCCAACATCTAAGCTTAGGGCTAACGGTGCTGGCGCACGCTTTTCCTTCCTGCACTCAGTGAGTTCATGGTCGGCCTGTTCTACACAGTGAGCTCCAGGCTAACCAAGGGTTACATAGTGGGACCATATCTCAAAACAGCAGTGACTCTTAGGTTTGTCCAGCTCATAACTCTACTGAAAGAGCAGGAGAGAGAAATGAGTGGAACAATTAGATTTATTCAAGACCATACCCAAGGAAAACGAAAGACTTTTATCAAATATTAGTCTTTGGAAGCAGGGCATGATGGTTCATGCATGTAATCACTAGGGATGCAGCACAGGAGAATCACAGTTAGTTTGAGGCCAGCCTGGGCTACAGACTGAGTTATAAGTTCATGCCTGGCTCAAAGAAGGTGTGTGTGTGCTGCCGAGTTAGCTTAATGGTTGAAAACACTAGCTGCTCACCCAGGGAACCTCAGCTGCAGGTTATCCAGCACCCCCTTCTGACCTTTTTTTTTTTTTTTTTTTTTTTTAAAGAAAAATGTTCAAGGTCTGTCTCAAAAATAGAAATCCACCTTGGGGTGGGAATCAGGAGTGAGAGAGTGCTGTGAGATAATCCCTTTGTACACTGTAAAGATTTGTCACTCAATTAGTTTAATAAAAAGCTGACTGGCCAGGCAGGAAGTATAGTCAGGATAACCAAACTACGATCTCTGGGAAGAGGAAGGGCAGAGTCAGAAGAGTTGCCAACAGATGTAGAGAGAGAAAGATGGGCATGCCCTACTGACTAAGAGTGCCAAACATCATGCCAAAGCACGGGTAAGAAATATGAGTTAATTTAAATGTAAGAGCAACAAGCCTGAGCTATTGGCCAAGTGTTTACAATTAATACAAGCCTCGGTGTGTTTATTCTGGAGCTGCTGGCAGAACAGAAACTCCCACAAACAAATGGAATTCTAACACACTCCCAGAATTTCCACGTAAGACCCGACAAAGCTTTAAAAAGGTTTCTAAACACACAAAAACAGAGTCAAGCATGGCTTCTTGATAACCACATTTTCTCAGGTAGGCTGTTTGCTGGTAACAAGCAGAGATGCAGCTCCTTTTAGAAATGGCTTCCTGGTCTGTGCCAGCAGCATGGGCATGGCTCTCTACTGAATACTTAAATGGGGTTTATGAGCAGAAGGCAAGGCACTGCTCAGTGGCATGAACCCCCAAACTCCCCGGAGTTGGAGCAGTAATTGTGGCTTGCTGCCTGCCATCAGTACATCCACCATGGAGTTAGATTCTCAGGGAACCAAGTGTAGTAAAGCCAGTGCCAAAGTAGAAGCAGAGGTCCTAACCACTCTGCTTAACTGTTTGGAGGCTCTTGAGGTCAGGAACAGAGTACAGATATGCAATAAAGAGAGAGTCAGATGGAAAACACCTCTAAATGGGTACAGGGTGTTTAAAAGTATACATAGGCTTGGGAGAGAAAGGAGAAAGTATAGACAGTCATAAAAAGAAATATATAGTTTTAAAATAATAAAATAAAGTCTTTAAGAAAGAAATAAAGTACGCCAGGCATTGGTGGCACATGCCTTTAGTCCCAGCACCGGGGAGGCAGAGGTAGGTGGATCTCTGTGAGGTCGAGGACAGCCTGGTCTATAGAGCGAGTTCCGGGACAGGTTCCAAAACAATGGAGAAACCCTGTCTCAAAAAAAAAAAAAAAAAAAAAAAAAAAGGAATGGAATAAAGGTAATATAAAAGAAAAGAAAGAAATCACAAAGATGAGAAACATGCCTTTCCGGTGGTGACGACCTTCGTATGAGAACATGCCTCTGGAAAAGCATCTCCTTCATCCCTCCTCAGAAGAGGAAAAGAGGGAACACAGAAAAAAGCACCTGGTGCAGAGCCCCAGTTCCTACTTTCTGGCTGTGAAATGCCCAGGGTGCCATAAAATCACCACGGTCTTCAGCCATGCACAAACGGTGGTCTGCTGTGTTGGCTGCTCCACTGTCCTCTGTCTGCCCACAGGCGGAAAAGTACAGCTGACAGAAGGATCCTCCTTCAGGAGGAAGCAACACCAAAAAGCATCTGATTCAAGATGAGTGGGAACCAACCTAATAGACACATTTTGGATAAGAAAAAAAAAAAAAAAAAAAAAAAGATGGGAAACACACTTGAGGCCTGGAAGCGCTGCGTGGCCTCCAGGGTCAGAACTGGAACCATGAGCTCCACTGGGACCAGGTATGACCTGTCTGCCTCTATGTTCTCTCCTGATGGAAGAGTCTTTCAAGTTGAGTATGCTATGAAGGCTGTGGAAAACAGTAGTACAGCTATTAGGATCAGATGTAAAGATGGTGTTGTGTTTGGGGTAGAAAAATTAGTCCTTTCTAAACTTTATGATGAAGGCTCCAATAAACGACTTTTTAATGGTGATCAACATGTTGGAATGGCAGTTGCAGGTCTGCTGGCAGATGCTCATTCCTTAGCAGACATAGCAAGAGAAGAAGCATCCAACTTTAGATCTAACTTGGGCTGTAACATTACTCTAAAACACCTTGCAGACAGAGTGGCCATGTATGTACACGCTTACACATTCTACAGTGCTGTAAGACTTTCTGGCTGCAGTTTCATGTTAGGGTCTTACAGTTCAAATGATGGTGCACGGCTTTATCTGATTGATCCCTTGGGTGTTTCATATGGTTATTGGGGCTGTGCCATTGGCAAAGCCAGGCAAGCTGCAAAGACAGAAATAGAAAAGCTTCAGATGAAAGAAATGACTTGCCGTGATGTAGTTAAAGAAGTTGCAAAAATAACTTATACAGTACATGATGAAGTTAAGGACAAAGCTCTTGAACTAGAGCTCAGCTGGGTTGGTGAATTAACTAAAGGAAGACATGAAATTGTTCCAAAAGATATAAAGGAGGAAGCAGAGAAATATGCCAAGGAATCTTTGAAGGAAGAAGATGAATCCGATGATGATAATATGTAACATTTTCTTCGTCATCTCTTCTGTTTTACATTTTTGTGACAGTTTCATATTACCAGCACCATGGATCATATATACCCACTGATCAATTTTCATTAAATTTTTGTTTAAAAAAAAAGATGGGAAACACACTGAAAGACTGGATTCTTTATGTTATTGTGTTACCTTGGGGAAGAGGTTATGCCTTTATTTTCACAGAAAATGAGAGGCTGTGGATTTGTTCAAGGTTAAAGATGATCAGTTGTGATTGAGGGAGACCCCCCCTGAAATCCTGACTACAGAAATAAAGAAATAAACCTGGAACTACAAGACACATGACATATATTTTACCTGCTCAAACAAATAACAAAAAATCAAATATGGA